ATATTGAAATATAAGCTCATGTGGGCAGTACATTCACATGCAGCCATATATAAAAGATTTTTATCTACCAAGATCTTGTAATCAATTTTTGCTGAGAATATATCTCCTGTAATTTTTATTATGAAAAGGAAACTTAAGAAAAGATCTTTAGAAAACATTTTATATATATATATGTGTGTGTGTGTGTGTGTGTGTGTGTGTGTGTGTGATCCACAAATGCCCCAAACAGACAAACAGACAGGTGAGTCTAGAGAAAGAATGGAAGATTTATTATAGCTGGCCTAGACTCTTTCCTAGAGAGTCTGAGTGTAGCACCGAGCCTAAGCACTCTGGTTCTTTTATACTAAACTTGTTGTTGGGCAAGCAAGCAGAATACAGAAGCAAATCATTGAGCATTAAGCTTGAGCAAACGTTGTCAAGGAAATACATAAGAAAATATAATTTTCCATCCAAAGCCCCCAACTGCATGAAACTAACATCCTCCTCTGAAATTATTAATCTTACTGTTACTCTACATTGTCTTTACCAGTCACAGAAGCCATAAATCAGCAGACGCTCTGACCTGTTCCCAAGACAACTAGGGTCCAGCTTGCATGTATTTCCACATCCTGGGCCACCACCTGGTAATTTCAGAAACTAGAGTCAGCCTAAACTTTATCATGGCATAGCTATGGTCAAGAAGGTGCCATATATATATATATATATATATATATATAACATACGTGTGTGTGTGGTGTGTGCATGTGTGTGTGTGTTTGTGTGTGTGTGTGTGTAACAATAATAATCAAAGAAGAGGACAAGTAATTGAGCGGGAGTACGGTCACATGGGAAAAGTTGGAGGGGGACTTGGAGGGATGAAAATCATTTAAATGCAATACAGTGATTGAAATTCTCAAAAATAAAACTTAAGGTGCTGGAGCAATGGCTCAGCAGTTAAGAGCACTGGCTGCTCTTGCAGAGGACCCGGGTTTGATTCCCAGCATCTAAATGGTGGCTAACAACCATCCATAACTCCCGTTCCAAGGAATCTACGCCCCCTTCTGACCTCTGCTGGCATTGCAAGATGTGTGTTCACTTACATACATGCAGAGAATATACTCATACACATAAAATAAAAATAATAACTTGCATAGTGCTCTCCAAATCTACGA